AAGTATGACAAAACCCTCAACTTGTCATAGGTTTTATAAAATTTTAACAATAAATGCGATAGTTATAAACAAATTAAAAAATGGGCACTTGTTTTTTTTTTTTGCAATAACTTTTGTTTATTAACCGATTTTAATTCAACAAGTCTCATTTTGTAAATAATTTTACTCCCTATAAGCTGTCTGAGAGTCACTTTTCGCTAAAATTGATGGTTTTCCCTGCAAAGTGAAAAAACTGTTTTCCTCACTTATTTATTTAAATAGAAAAGTTGGCTAATAAAATTTTTTGACCCACGAGATGAGAGATGTCTTGTATTTTGTTCCTTTAGACAATTTTACAATAATCTCGCAGATAGGAATTTTTTCGAGTTTCTCTTTTTTTTTCGCTATTTTTCCTGGTCTAATTAATGAATCATCCGTAATCAATCACCTTTATGTTAATCGTTAGTGTTTGAATAAGGGGAATTGTCACTCTTAATTAACAGTTATTCAGCAGATACTCAAGAGATACATATAAAAAATTTTTATATACCGAAGACAAATTTTAATTGTAAAATTAATTTAATTTTCTTAATTTTTGACACTCCTATCCTGTATTAATGAGAAAATTAGTAGTTCTGAGAATAACAAAGAAATAAATGGAATTCGGCCAATACCCGAACATTCCCCGTCATAATTCGTCACCTACACCACTGGCTGCTTGCCAAATAGTACGCATTTGTTATTCGGGATTACGTAAAAGCATCGCTGATTGTGTATTGCAAAATTGCGAATAAGATACAACTATTAATCGACTAGTCATCGCCAGAAATACAAGTTTGCATTAAGAGTCAATAATAATAAATATAAGTTACCTTATTGTGATGACTAGCACTTCTTTCGTGTTTCTGTAAGTGTCCCTTGGTCCGAAAACTCACGGAGCAAGAATCGCACCGAAAAGGCCTCTCTAAGTAGTGGATGTTCATATGAAGCCTAAAAAAAATAAAAGTTTCATACGCATCTGGACAAAGTAATATTGATTAAAAAAAAATCAATAACAAAGAATATAATTTTTGAGAATCTGCCCATGCTGTAACTATTTTTATTAATGTCATTACTGTAACTAATCTTAATTTTTCTTATTCTAACAATAAACTGATAGTAGTCATTGAAGCTTTTCACCTCCGAATTCTTTGAAACTGAACCGATCGACTTGAAATTTGGCAGATAGTTGGACAAAAGGGCAATGAACATTAGTGACATAGCGTCGATTGACGCTTCCACCCTGTTGGGGTTTGACACCCCTTCTCAGGGGTGGAATTTTTTTTTTCAAAAATAACGCTGGAAATCGATAGAGAATCTGATTTTGAAACAAAAATTTTCGAAGAATATTTTCGAAATATCAATAGTTTTTTAGTTATTCACAATTGAAAACTTTTGAGTGAAAAAAAAAACACTTTTTTAAAGTATTTTTCGCGAATAACTCAAAAACTACGCATTTTATTACAAAAAAATGTAATGAACAAAAATGTAGCTTATAAATAAACAAAGAAAATCGTTTTTAAAAAGTGTTGTACGTCCTATACAAAGCGAAATATGGTTAGTGGAAGGAGTTTTTTGTAGTACTCAAAAAGACCATCAAAATGAGCACTTATAAAAGTTAATTAGAGCAAAATTGAAGAAGTTATCGTCAAAAACAGATGGGTTACTCATATTTTTTAAGGAAAAATGAGCAGTAAACCTGTACCATTTCCATCATAATTAAAATTAATCGTAGACCCTTTACAATTTGTTTTTTTAGTGTTTTTCATACGATCCTGAAGTTAGACCAGTTTAGAATGAGTATTTTTTTAATAATGTACGGTAAAAGTTGAAAACATATTTTTCATTATTAAAAAAAAATTGCATTATTTATATAATAACTCTGAAACTATGAAAGATATAGCTTCAAAATTAACAGAGTTATGGTAAAAAAAACCAATGACATTTTTTTGGAACAAAATAGGTGTTCTCATTTTTGGGGCAAAATATTAGGATTCAAGTGCGCGTCAGCGTGTATAAAAGTTTATATGCAGCATAGCAATTTTTTCTATGATTGATTATATTTAAAAATCGATTATAATAAAAATATTTTACATTAATATTGGTAAAAGGGTAGTTTATAAGAGTTAGAAATGGCAAAAGTAAAATATTCTTTCATAAACAATATAAGGGAATTTTTATTTTAAATTATTGCACAATTATAGCATTCCAAGATTTAAAACGTAATTTTTTATCATTTTTTTAGCACAGGGGTGATTTATAAGGGTTGAAAAGTGTTATGAGATACAAATTCTTTCATAAGCAATGAGGGAATTTTTATTTTAAATAATTGCACCGTTAAAGCATTCCAAGCTTTTAAAAAGTAATTTTTTATCATTTTTGTCAATACAGGGGTGGTTTTTAGGGGTTGAAAGGGAAAAATTCTTTTATTTTAAATAATTGCACGATTTAATCATTCCAAATCTTTAAAAAGCAATTTTTTATCATTATTTTTTGCATAGGGGTAGTTTTTAAGGGTCGAAAAGAACAAATATATGATAAAACATGTTCGAGAACATGGAACATTATTTAATCTTTGCACTTGAACAAGATTTTTATCAATAACGAGCTTAAAACTTAATTTTTTCAATTTTTTTCACTTAGGGGTAGTTTTTACCCCTATAAAACAAAAAGTGTCAATCGGGCTTATGTCACTTTTGAACTTGAGCCTAAGATGAGCCTTATTCTAAATTTTCTTGCAAGTCCATGCAGTTTCAAAGAATTCAGAGGTTACAGCTAATTTTCAGCTTCAACGACTGTACTATGAGGAAGTTTAATTTAAGTATTTTAGGGAAATTATGATTTATGCCATTAAATTTTAACGGGGCGCTAAATGTTGAGTCACTAAAATTCAATAGATATTCTGTAAATTACCAACAATGTACAACTAAAACTAGGACATTTGAACTACTCTGTAAGATTCATCCAGCTAAAATTATTTAATATTTACTCGTGCAATACACAAAAGTGTTAAGGGGCAATTTTGATTTGTTATTTAATTTTAATAGAGCTACCAAAATTGCGGAATCATTATTTTCAGTTTTAACCGCGTTGAAATGAAAAAAAAAGTTATACGTACAATGTACAGTACAGTTTTGTCAGTGATGCCAAGAGACGAAGGCACAAGTTTTATGAAATACAAGTTTTGTTGAAGAATAATAAAAATATTACTAATAATATTAATAAGTTTTAATATTTTAAATTGCAATAGCCCTAGAGTATACAGTAACTAAAAGACGTTTGAACTACTCAATCAAATTTTTAACAATCTGATAAAATAATTTTGTCATTCAACTTAAATTTTGACGAACAGAATAGAGATCGATAATATTCAACAGTTGTGTTAAAGATTTAACATGCGTTTAAAAAACCGTGAGATACGTAATCCCCCCCTTTATTCAATCAATATATTTACCTTAACTGAGATGGTTTGTTGAAATTTTTGGAACAGATGGTGCAGCTTTTGTTCCCTTCGGCCTTAACGATTAGATCGTTGACATCTTTATTCAGACTGTAACCGCTCGTATCCCTGCACCCGTCGATTTTCTCGTTTTTTGTGGCTAACTTCAGGAACTCCGTCGCCACGCTCTGTGCCAACGTGTTTTTATCCAATTTTTCACGTTGAGTCGCCACGTCCGCTAAAGTCTCCATCGCGCTGTTATCGTACTCCGTGGATTTCGAATAATCGCTAGCGTTACTGTTGTGCTGCTCTTTGATATAATTCACGTTGACGTGATCCTCGGACTGCAACGGGGCTAGAATGATGACGGTGTCGTTACAACCCATGTCGCTTCTTTTGGAATTCACGTTTTCATTCTTTTCGTACTGGTATTCGTCTTCCTCGTTAACGAACTTTTCAGGGCTCCTATTCGGAAGAAGTTTCGGTGGCGCGTTGTAAGAATCGATTATTTTCGGGTGATCCATGGGCCGCATGTTGCTTTGGAAAGCATAGTTCTCCGTTATTCCGTTAATGATGTGATTCTTGTCATGTTTCTCTACCACCGACGGCATCGATAAATCCATAACTTCGTCGTTTCTCTGCATCTTGTTTTTGTAATCGTTTTCTACGACGGGGAACTTCCTTTTCCTCAAATCGCTTATATTCTCATGTGGAACTACGACGTCGTTTATCTTTAAAGTCGGCAAAACCCTGCCGACTTTGAGGTTCAAATTTTTATTGTCGCTCGACGAAGGTTTCTCGGGAGTGCTATGTGTGCTTTCTACATTCCTCTCGGTTTGACTTAGACTCAGTTTAGGACTTTCTCGTCCCGGCATCTTAGGCGACTTAGGCAGCATTGGTGACGCGGCATATTTCTGTATAACGTGAAACTGCTTAATGCACTTCATTTCCGAATTATTCTCCATGTTATTTAAGTGAATATCATTCACAACTTCCGAACTTTTAGACGGAGTTAAAACCTCGTTTGATACCGTCGACATGTATGGATAAGTCAGAGGCCTATTAACGCTGGATTTCCCCAAGAAGTTTCTCAGATTCCGCGCCTCGGTGGTTTCTTCCGAAATCGTAGCTACGGTCGTATGGTTAATGTTGCTGGTGCTGGTGAAGCTTAAGGAATTACGTTCGTCCAATATCTTGTTTTTCGCGTAACTCGTTTTTGTCACGTACGCTATTTCTTCCGAACTCATGAACAGTTCGTTGATCGAGACTGAATTACTGCCCTGCAAATGGTGGGTGTCGGATTGCGAGTGAGTGTTCGTTTGAGTTGGTTTTTGGGATAACGACAACAAGCCGTAGGCGGCCTCGTGCTCCTGCTGACGTGTTGATTCGTCTGAAAATTTAAAAAATGCACTTATAAGTTTCCGAAATGGCAAAAGAACTCGGCAATTTTTATCAAAATATAATCAATATACAGGGTGTTACAAATTCACTCCTCACTACAGGGATCTCTGAAACTGTAAGAGGTACGAAGTAGCTTAAATGGGGGCAAAGTTGCGTAATCAGGGGACCAACATTATGCCTCTAAAAAATCAAGGCTATCATGATTAGTTTTCGAAATATTTGAAAAAATTTTGGAAATCCGTTTTTATTTCATTCCAGCCTGGTTTGAGGTTGCCTGCCATTCGATAGACGGCAAAAAGTGGCCATGAGAAAGTGTTCTTCTGTTTTCAATATCACCTCAAACAAGGCTGAAATGAAACAAAAGCAGATTTCCAAAATTTCGTTTTTTTTTTTCACATATTTCTAAAAGTAATCATGTTAGCCTTGATTTTTTAGAGGCATAAATCTGTATACAATATAAAAAAAATAATTCAAAATTTCACTGTCGAAATATATTAAAGGCATATTTTTTGTGCAATGAAAGTGCAGATGTTCGAAAAATTTGATAAAAAACATCAAGGAAAAATTCCAAAGGAAATAATTTGATGAATACGATAAAAATCAACAGGTGAACCATTTACTACTACTTTTGGTGTACATTTATTACAAATATAAAGGAACTATGGCTTTTTTTTAGATTTATTAACAAGCTACTTACCACTACTGTCCATACCACTATCATCGGTATCCGATTCAGAACTAGGGGTGGCGCTTTGCTGCGTGGAAGAACCAGAACCGCTACTAACCGTAGAATTCTTGGTGTGAGCTTTACTTTTCATATGTTTTGTTAAGTTGCCCTTCGTTTTAAAACTGAAAACATACAAAAATGTGTTTTAAAATTTATTAGACAATTAGGAATTTATTCCAAAAATTTGATTAAAAATCACTAAAAAAAATGCAGTTAAAGTAAGAACATGAACGCATTTTCACAATAAATTTGTATACCTGAAGTTGCAATGGCTACAGGTATAGGGTCGATCGTTTGAGTGCGTTCTAATGTGTTTCTTCAACATAGAGGGTTTTTTACAGCGAATCCCACACTGATCGCAAACGTAACGCCCGCGACCTATAACAGAAAAGGATGTTTAGAAAATGTATGATTGTTATAAATATATTTTTTAATTAATTACGTATAACTGTTTATTTTTGCGTTTCATTACATACCTCTACCCCTGATGTACGTATAATCGTCGTTACATTCATATCCCCCAAGAATGTTTTTATTTTTTTGTTGCTCATCTTCAGTTTCAGTTTTGCTCGATGAAACTTCCGACACAACAAACTGGGAAAAAAATTGAATTATGAAATTATCAGGAATATTAAAAAGGTAAGTAATTTCATTTTTTTTTATTTTTAAAGCATGTTGAAGAATTAAAACTTATTTTACGTTTGCCGATTATTGACATGATAAATTTGACAATTAATTATATTGGTACCTATTATAATACAGGGTGATTCACTATATTTTGACCCCCCCTTTAATTTTTTTGTTTTAAGAGTTCTAAAAAAATGTAAAATACAAAAGTTGCACGATTTTTTATGAATTTTTTGAAAATGACATTTGAAAAACAAATAAAGTCCAAACAAAATGGCCGCGGATGTTAACTTTGTTAATTTAAATGGAACACTCTGTATATTTTTACATATTTGGATAGAATGTTCCCTGTCGAGCATAGTCATATAGGATTGTTGGGTCCATCTCTAACAATAAACGAGATACTATTAAAAAATGGAAATAATGTTTTTTATTAAGAAAATAAGATATCTTGTAATTGTTAGACCTCTTCAGGTATTTCTGCCTTTTTTCCAATTACTTAAGGATTTACAGATTTAGTTGTAATATATTTTGACATGTCGGACATTGATATGGTCCAAAATGCGTATAGGTGTTTTAACTAAATCACACTAATTAGGTCGTCAATGCAAAGAAAAATATTGTTCATGACTAGATAGTAAGTAGACTGAGATACCTGCTTGTAGATATTGAATAAAATCGAGTTTCGAATACTTAAACTTATATATTTCCACTTCTCAATTATTATTTTTTACCCAATATGCATAAATAAATGCCAAAAGTTGCAATAGAAACTTGACAACAGCGCATGAGTGTGCTGAGTTAATTATTTATAAGTTGGCAGTCCTTGTCGTGTAAGTATATAGGTAATAGGTATACAATACGCTATGTGATCGCTTTAATCTATAAAATGTCGGATGAAGAACGAAGTCGGTAGAAAGGAAAATTTGTGGCCCAAAGAAAGTATATGAGTGCTTGAAAATTGGAATAGAAAATAGCAAAAGCGGGAAAAACATTCAAATTTTCGGGATTAATTAAAAACAAAAACAAATTGGTAAATAATTCGAGAATAATTAACAGAATTTGAATTCGCTTTGCAAAAATAATACAAATAAACAAATAAAAATCGCTCCAAAAAATTCTCTTTAAAGGGCAAAAACGAAAATTAATGAATTTATTGATTTTAATCCAATTATATTTACCCTATAGCTGGAATGGATGATCAAGTTGGCCGATGTCTTGCCTGCCATGGTGTACTTCTGACTCGTCTGCCTGGAATCGTAGTTGGTAACGTACAGCTTATCCGTTTTGGTGTCCTGTTGCCGCCATTCCGAATACATGCTTAATTTTTTAAAGTGGGGAACGTAAAAAGGCTGCGTCTTGTTTAAGGTGCAATAGACCGGCCTAGTGGAACTTTTCAAGCCCAAATAACTGAAGTAGTTACCGTGCAAGAAGTGCTCGGCGTATTTCTTGGCAACTCTCGGTGTATCGGGACTGATGAGGATTTGATTGAACATGGTCGGGGTTAAACCGTGGTGCTGTTTTAATGACGCCGTCGTGGGTTTCAACGCTAGGCTGTTTGGGCGGGCAAATTTCTTGTTTTCCTTTACGGTATCTTTTTCTGGTGATTTTATTTCTGTTATTTTTGTCGGAGAGTTCGTATCGTTGGTTTTTAAGGGGGATTTTATCTCTGGCGACTTGGAATAAAAGTCTGTTTTAATTTCCAACATGCCTATCTTCGGAGACCTGTTTAATTTCTCGATTGTTCTGTCGACAGGCATGGAAAAGTTAGATTTACTGGTTTTAAAGGTGTCGTTTGTTACTTCTAATTTACTTTGTACGATGGGACTCGCCGGCGGTAAATCTCTTGGCGTGGGTCTTCCAACGGATATTATATTGTTCTCGTAAGGCATTTCGACGGGATCCTCGGTAACTATTGGTCCCGGCATACCAGGTACGTACCGTATTACTTTGCCATTCACCAGTAAATTGACAGGATTGCACAAGTTACCGGTGCCGCTTACTTGATCGTAATACCCCTTCTTTTGCAGTACCTGCTTTTTTAAAGAGGGACTTCTCATACCGACATCCGGATCCGGATTGATTTTCAAGTTCTGGACTCTGTGGATATCGCTTTCAGCGATTGTTAATTTGGAATTCAAATTGTCCAGTAATAATTCCTCCCTGTGGTTCTCGGCTAGCAATTTATTAAAAACGTTACTGGGTGGTTGAATGGATAAGGTCGGTTGTTTTATGTTAGGCGTCAACATCTTGACGGCCTTCTGGCTGAAATCCATTATATTAGTGTATTTGTACAGCGAATTGGAAACGGTATCGCAAGTTTTCGATACCTCGTCGACGATATTGTGTTTCAAGGTGATGTCCGGTTGCATGCTGTCCGCAATTCCATCGCATTGTCGTTCAAAATTGAATTTAGTTTTACTTATACCCGAAATGTCTATACTGGGAGAAACGGAAGTGTTTTCGTAAACCCTTATAACGTCCTGCTGCGTCCTTATGTCTTGTTTGCTGTAGTTCGTCTTGTTCGTTAGAACCGTCCCGCCGGATTGTAAACTGGACTTGATAACCCTGTTTTCGCTTAATTTTCCACCGTATTCAACGTAATTTTGTTCGGGTTCGCATTTGTCCTCTTTATTGTCTATTTTATAACTCTTCGTTTCCCCCAACGAGTGTATCTTTACCTCTCCCCCGAACAATTTAACGGGTGTTTTTTTTTCTTTGTCAAACGGTAACGGTGACAGGTAATTTTGGGATATCTCGTTGGGGCTCATTAGCGGCAAGTTGCCGCTGTCGAACGAAAATGATTTCGTTTTATCGGTTTCCACCAAACGAGTCTTTCCTAAGAACGGTCCGGGTGAGTTTAACGGGAAGACCGTGTTCTGCAACTGCGGTATGTTATCGAAAGCGTTTTTGTTCTGCGTTAGGATCGAAGCGACATTAACGGAACTGCTCCTAGTATATCTAGCGCCTAGTGGTTTGCCTTTACAGTTTCGATATTTATGTACATCGAGTTCCGTCACTGTCTGGAAAATCATTTTGCAATAAGGACACTGCATGTCTGAGGAGTACAGGTTCTTCAACAACAGCTCCTTTATTAGACTCTTCTGTGCGATCGGTTCGGAAATCTCGCTCATGCACCTCTTTCGATTTTTGTTGGTCAAGTTTAGCGGTTCGTCTAGATTGTTTTGTTCCATGACGCTCGGCGAGTACATAGAATCGCTCCTATTCAATTTTTGTACATATTCGTTGTTATTTACATTATCTACAATCGATAAATCATTGATACGTTTCTTGATGAATGTTGATTCCCTGGAGTTTACGATAGAGTTGTTTTTGTTAATTATTTCGTTAATGTGGTGAGATAGGAGTTCCGAGGTGGCTTGTTTGCTGTTCTGTTTCTCGTCGTCGACATTTTCTTTAGAGACGTTGTCGAGGAAATGCTTGCTGGTATGAAAACGAGGCTTATAGGGCTTTAATTTGACGTCACCGCAAGCATTTTCTTCCCTACTTTCCTGGTGGATGGAAAGATTAACGTTCTTTTGATTATCCAGTTCGTTACTCGAGTGTTGCGATTTGTTTCCCATCACTCTATTGGCGTGAGTTCTGGAACGGCAATGTTTGTAAAGATTAGAACGTGTTTTGAAGCTGAAGCCGCAACTGATGCACGGATATGGTCTTTCATTGGTATGTGCTCGTATATGTTTCTGGAGGACGCTGGGCTTGGAACAGACCAGGTTGCAGTACGTGCAGACGTACTTTCCACTCGAGTTCCTGTCGGGCGGGGGCTGTATTTCCTCTATCTTCACATCGAAATTGTCATCCGACGAGCAAAGTTTTAAGGAAAAATCTTCTTGCGAGTTATATGTAGACACATCATCTTTGTTTCCATAATTCTCTTTAGAATATAAGTTGTTTAAAATGGAAGACGTACTAACAATAGGTGTACTAATAGTAGAATTGGTCGGAAGTGTACTAAATGTTGTATCAAAACTAATGGGATTACAGTGTTCTTCATTGTTTTGGTTGTTTGAAACTACATATGATATGCAAGATTTCGAAGATTGTTGGTTCGCTACACACTTTCCTGCTGATATGGAAGACTTTGACAAATTACTAATGTTCAGCACAAAAGAACTATTCTGATTTGTACTTTGATTTGGCACACTATCGTTATTGTCTACTCTTATTCTACTCTCTGTTACTTTATTACACTCTCCCTGTTTGTTGGGCTCGCTGATTTTTTCTTCACTCGGCTCCACAACTCGAGCAGAATCTTTGTTTTCTTTATCATAATTCTGAGATTTTGGTTCGATACTAAGCTGCTTTTTAAATTTCTTGTGTAGGTAGCTATCGGCACTATTTTCCATAGCTGTAATGTACCTGCAACCCAAAAATTATCTATGTTAAATTTATAATTTCAACCCAAAATGTTAAGTGTTATTTACTGGCCGATTTTTATTTTTGAATTAATTACTTGTTAGTTTGTATATTATGAATATTCTATTAACAAAATTATAATAGCAACTATTCTGTTCCTGCAAATTGTTTAATTTTGCGTGCTTAGTGGATTTAATTTACAAATTTTTGCTTGGTTATTTTGTAATTCAAATTATTTACCTTGAAATTTAAAATTATTAACTATAGAAGGTGTAACCTCAAGTGGGGTTTAGTTTTTTTTAGGAGTTACAGTACATAATATATTTTTTTCAATCTAATAAATAGTCAAGTTCGTTAAATTGTTCCCTAGGCAGTTTCCTGAATTACCTTACCAGTTGCCTGTTGTTACCTTTTTAAACCAACTGTATGAAACTAACGAAATGACAGAGAGAAAATAATAAAAATAGATTGCTCTTGCATGATTTTGCGTCACGTTATTTTAAAGTTATATTTTTTTTATGTCAATGCGAACATTAAAAAAATTTGAGTGTTTTAAATTTTTTTTTTTTTGATGATTTATTAAATGTTAATCAATGTTGGTATATATAGGCATCCATTACTAACTATAAGTAAAACTAATTTGTTTTAAAACAATTATGAAATGAACAGGGTGTCCCACTTAACTGTTCCACCACACTTCTTTCGATTAATTCTTCAGATATAAAAATGTTGAAATAAAAGTTGTAGTGTTTTTTATGAAATTTCTGTTTGTAGCAACAAAAAAACAATTCAAATTTAAATATCGATGGGACTGATACAACTGATTATTTTTTTAATGGAACACCCCGTAAATTATTACATTTTTAGATGTAAAATTTGATTCTGAATAAAAATATATTAACATGACACTTATTTTTGACAGTTTTATTGTAAAATTTCGGGAAACGAAAATAGAAAAATATAAACAATAGTTCGAACAAATAAAATTATAAAAAGGGTAATGAATGTTAACAGAACAAGAAAAATATAAATTATTTTAATAATTGTTCTATATGAGTCCCATTCCTCTGGATGCACAATTCACAATAATTTTCTTATTGATGCGATCACATTTTCTAATACATCGAGATTATTATTGATATTCGCAATGTCGGTCGTCATTCTTTCAATTAATTGATTTACATCTACTCTATTAATATATATACTTAATTTTTTAAATAACCCCACAAGAAAAAATCCGGTGGACTAAGATCTGGACTACGAGAAGGCCCCAAATGAGGTACCTCGCCTACCAATCCACTGCGTGAAATTGTTCCCTTATGGAGAACTTAGGATTTTCTAGGAAATATAAAAGAATATTTAACTCCATTTCTTGATTATTAGTATTAATATTTCTAGTCCACTTTTTGTCTTCCAATGGTATGACAACTTATGTGCCATATTCAAGAAAGTTTTTATTGACGAGGCGTGCCTGATGTCAGGATACTTGTTTCGGTAATCTCTGACAATGGCCCATATTTCCCACTTTAATTTACCGAAAATTAATTCACAACTACTGTTTATTGTTATTTTAATTGTTAAACGTCAAAATATTATTAGAAACAAAATATTAATGTATCAATTAAATCATGGCATTCTTAAATATGCAATACCCGGTGTTCATTTTTGCGATTAAATGCAAATACTATACCAAAAACTCTCAAAAATAAGTGCCACATATGATATACTTTTGTTCAAAATAAAATTTTACTTCTAAAAATGTAATAATTTACAGTGTTTTCAATAAAAAAAAAACAGTATTTGTCACATCGACATTTAAATTTGAATTATTTTTTTGTTGCTACAAACAGAAAACAAACAAAAAAAACACTAAAACTTTTATTTCAACAAAACTTCCATATCTGTGGAACTAACTGAGATAAGTGGGGTGGTAAAGTTAAGTGGGACACCCTGAACATAATAGAAATAATTTAAAATTTTCTAAAATAATTTCGTTTTGATACTGTGTTTAGTTTGTGAATTTCAATGTCAATGACCTCTGACACTGACCAACTTTAGGTGAACTACATAATACGAATCCACCTTATTTGATATAACAACAGGGCGAACGGCTGGCAAAAAACAAACAACCCACTTTATCTCCGTGGAATTAGAATAATGGTTAAATAAGTCACCACTTTAATTTAATATGTACATTTATTTTAGTTTTCTGTCGAGGGGAATTTGTTTTGTAATATTGTAATTGTAATATTTCACAAATTTCCACATTTAGTTAGTATAACTGTACGTAATTTTCAATTTGCACCTTTGCTGCTCCAATGTTTCCTTTTTGCGTACCTACTTCATAGAAATCTCAGTAATTTTACTTAGTATTCGTGCAAACACGCGTTGCTGTGCATTTCAATAACTTTTTCGGTGAAAAACAAAACAATGGTACATTTAATTTTGTGAAAATAAAAAATCTAATATCTACCTATATGTTTACTGTGCAATTATTGATGGTTGAATTATAATTTAAAATTAGATAAAGTACATGCAGATTTCACTTGAACGTTTGCAATATCATAGTTCAGAAATGTTTAACATGAATAGTAATAAGAATTAAGAATCCATGCATGTTGTTAGCTTGATTTTAATCATTCGACATAAACGCCTATTTAAATCTCTATATTTATAAATTAAAATCAATTATTTACATAAAAATCATATACTTTTATAAAATAAGAAATCAAATCACCGATTTTCCTATGGAGTTCTTACATATAGACCAGTGCTTAAGCCTTCAAAAATAGTAAAAAATGAAAAAAAATTATAGTAGGATGAAACCCATTGGAAAAAGGAAGAGAATATAACAGAAATGAAAAGAAAAATAATTTACGGGCAATCTGAGGTCGGGAAGGGGGTGAGTTTTTAAGGGCAAAAAACGGTTTATCTTGATTTCCGGAAAAACTACAAGTCTTATGGAAAAAAGTTAAATAACAAAGTTGTAAGATCTACAACTTTTGTATTTACACTTTTTTCACATAACCTCAAAATTTATGTGAAAAATTCAAATAACCAAGTTTTTGGTTTTTTATTTTTATCTTTTACAAACAAATTTTTTTTTTCACGAAATTTGATGAAAACCCCCTGGTCTAATACAGTTCTTGTGAAGTTTGTTCCTGGTGCATGAGGAATAGTTTCCAACAGTCAGACGCAACACAATGACAATGACACAATCGCGTTTGATTCAAAACAATGAATTTTGAACCTTATGTAAGCATTATATCAGAATGCGCATGCGTCTGACTGTTGGAAACTGTTTTGGAATTTTGGATTGGAATTAGATTGCTCTAGGAACAAAGCAAGGTGTACTTGTAGCATCCCCGTTTTGTCTACTTATTCATCATCATCATCATCATTCCTTCTCTAAAACCGAGTTCTATATACAGGAATGGAATGCTCAGATAAGAATTTGGTAAGAGACTTTTTGCTAAATCGGTCAAAAACTCACTCTGTATAATAATAATTTAGAATATCTGTAATTTAATGTATAAGCTTGAATAGTATTTGAGTAATACTTTAATAATATTTGTTAGGTTAGGTAATGGTTGTTTTCTTGTATAATTGTTATATAAAATTAGACCGTAGCTAGAAGTCTTTGTATGCACCGACATATTAAAATTCTAGCTTATAAAATCAATGTCTAATATATTAAACAGATTAAAAAGAATATTTTGCAGCATTTTTCATAAATAAACGCTTTCTTTTTACATAATTGGTGTTGCGGCTTAATATTATTTCCATTTACAAGAGACAATGTTTTTAAAGATACCTAGGATTTCCTATTTTAAGTCGCTTACTAAATTTTTACCAAAAATTCTTATTAGTCGAAAAAATCTTATTACTTCCAGTATCTCCCCCAACATCCGAAAATATAAATAAAATCTATACAAGTTCATTGAGACGTAATTAATCACAATCTTTTGCCTAAATCACGTCATAAAGTCAACTAAAATCTACTCCCTAACTGATACGTCATTTTATTCAAAAATATTTTTTCTACACGAATGTTGGTGTACCGTGTACCTATGCAACAAAAATTATTTTCTGCAAATGCGGGAGAAATAACGCCAAGTTACGTAACATATGTGTAGTAGGTTCCATGTATCCAATTATCTATTGGATTTCAAGCGAAATTGAAATGGTTAATTAATTAATTATGTTTTATATAAGTTGCACATCAATTCTAAAGGGCAATTAATTGATATAGATATCTGACTACATTTTATAATTCTACACGTACCTACCTACATTAATAGTAGGCACCTAAGTACCTACTCTGCAAAAAAAATTAAATATCTAGGAGAGGTAAAACCAGTGCTTACTTGTTGCTAAATGAATTATAAAGGAGGAATAAATTAGTGACAAATATTTGTGCCGCACTCTGTAATTTATCGTGAACGTGTGACGTTAAAAGAGGAATCGAAACAACAGTAATTTCCAGAAATAAAATATTATCGTTCTTCCTCATGTGAATTCTAATGAATAATATTATGAAATGACGGGGAAAATATTATGATAATCGTTTACATATATACCATTAGCCTTAAAAGAACCGCTGGTTTTAATACATCGTAAACAGTAAGTCTAAATATAGGTAAATAGACTACATGCGAACAGACACATGTAGTCTATTTCATTAAACGATCTCATTGTAATTGAAATTGAAAAATGGGTAAAGGTGTGCTTGTGCTACGTATCGAAGCGATTCATCATTTAGATTTAGTGAAGCACGCGTTCGAGAACAACAAAAAATCGCAGGCATCTCGATGAACGTCACAAACGCGAGCTGTTCGCCAGTTCGCAACATGTGGAGGTAGGAAGGAATCCGTGCGGGACAAGGGGGCAACGCTCGTCGACTCGAGACAGACAGCGTATGACGCCAAAGCGATAGTCGGAGCGGCGCCAAGGGTACAATACCGTGCAAAAAATTTTGCTCTGAGAATTAACTGTTAAAGAAATTATGGGTTTACGAAGGACGGAGACAGCACGTACCTATCTAAGAAGTCTAATGCAACGAAAAGAATGATTCCATAATTACTCACCGTATCTGTAGGAAGCGACAATCGCCTACGTCTGTTACAAAACACAATGTTTACATTATATAAAAATCGTTGGCACCTATTTTAATTGATTTAATTACTTTATTAGCACAATATGGCATTAAGAACACAATATTTATAGGCGAGAACTTATTTATTAGAACAGGCAAAAATCCACTTTACGAAAATATACAGTTGGCACTTAGTTTAAATGTTCAATTTATCACTCATTTCAAAGTAATGTTTAGTTACGCACTTATCTAAAAGATTTTCTACTAATTTCAGATAAATCTAAAGATACTGCGTGTACAATACACACTAAATATGATATGATGGGTCACACGGCGCCATGTTTACTTGTTTCACTTGTCTCTTTTCCACAAATACAATGACTAAGTCACTTCTCACTCACTGATTCTAGCAAGTTAATACCCAACAATTTGTTTCTCTCTACCGCGTTGGGATCGCCCTCGCCTCGTCGCTCTTAAACGTCAAGCTATTTGTTATTCTACCTCGTTCCTGGAAAACTTTCAAACCTGTTTAGCAACTGTCTTTGTCTTATCTTGGATTCACCTTACCAATACATCTACTGCCTTCTTTTTCTAAACATTACATTTCTTTTTTTGCCAAACACGCGATATGGTGCAAAGTCTACAAATTCAACCCTACACTATCAATGAAATTTCGTTTTCATATTGTTAATAAACACATACGGGGTATTCTCTACGCTAGGCAACATATTGTTTCTTACCGGAGACGAGTTTTACGAAATATAATTAAATTCTTGCTATCCTGTCATAAATAAAAGATTTTGTAAACTAAAATATTTAAAGTGCGAATAATTTAAATTGATCGCCGCTTCTTATGACACGTTATCTAAATTTAGAATTTGATACACCGTCAGCAAAAAAAATACCTACAAGTTTTAACGATTCGCAGAATTTCTACATATTAAAATGGCCTGACTCTTTCTCTGTCATTATAGCGGTATTTCCTATTATTATACCTCTTCGTCTATCTCCCGACTACAAATGATGGAATCTCCTGTTTTCCCTCTTGCTTCCACCGCATGCTATCGTCCTTGTTTTATATGTAACAGGTTCTCATTTTTGGAATCTCCTATATGTGTCCTTGTTTGTTTGGTAGGTGGGGCCAACGTAATGGTTTTAATTTATAATGAGAGTTGTTATAATCTAGTCGCACTTTTTTTACCCCTTCTCGTTTTATTTCACGACACGACATAGGTATATGTACAATTCTAAAAGATTGCTTAAGACATAAATAACAAATATCTAATTATAAAAAGATAGACCTATGTATGTGTAGGTTTATATATTGCTTATGGGTATTTAATTCCCCCAAACGATGAATTAAACACCAAAGACGTGTTTGAAAGTGTATTCCACTATGTAGCGTTTTATTTTGAGAATGACATTATATACAGGGTGTTTGTAATCTACGGGTTGTTAGTCAAGTTTAAAAAATTGTTTTTAGAAACTATTTCTCTAATGAAGTTGAAAATTTTTGAACTATAAAGTTTGTACTTAAAGTAGATAAAAAGTTTTATAAATAAAATTCAAATGAATAGGAATAATGTTGTTTCTGTAGTAGTATGTTGATAAGCATTAAATTCTGTACTTTCTGTTTTTTTCAGTAGTTTCTGAGATATTTAAATTTTGTGTACTGCACGGTGTTTTTTGCCTGCGCCAGTCATATCATTTCTACACTTATCTATCTACTTATTACACATCTGATCTAGCAAACATCTGAGATGATCCCTCAGCAGCATAATCAGATACAGACAGGTTTCCAACATTCCAACTCTTTTTAAACTCATCAATACGCCTTAGGAGCTATTTGGATGTCCCTACCAACATGTTTTGAGTGTGGGTAAAATATAACCTACAAAGAATATGTTATCTTAATCTTAAATGTCAATGATACCTAATGCCTACTATCAGAAAGCATTACTTTGCACTTACTGACAAAGTGACCTACTAATCTTAAAGTGGTATGAAATCATGACTAATTTACTAGAAGAAATAAAGCAAGTACCTATGTACATACGTAGCCTGTAGAGAAGATTAGTAGGTCAGTTTTCCAGTAGGACTTTGTGACAGTAGGCATTGAATATCAATAAAATTTAAAATAACATACTTTGTATATCTCACTGACACTATGTATTAAAGAAAAATATAATTCATTCTAACACTTCACTGGTGATCCATATACAGGGTGTTTCATAACTCTACTGATAGAGAAGACTAGATAGAGATATTTGTTAAGTAACAATTTTTTCTGGGATGTACCGTTGAACAGATATTGGTCTCTGAAGATGAGTGTTAAATTTTGAAAAATAATAGGTCAGCAATGCCTTAAGGTAGAGCTAACAAATTTGATACATGATTTGCGTTTATTGTTATCTTTAATTGCTAAAAATATGAATTTGTTGGAAATCCAATAAGGGCCGAACTACGGGTAGGGAGTCTTTACAATGATATCGATTTATTTATCAGTATGCCAATTATTATTTAGTTTTACCAGTATTACAGGAAATTTAACGTTATAAATTTTTTTAGCAAATTTTTCGAAAAAATAACTGTTTTTGAAAAAATCGGGATTTTCTGAAACAGCGTCATTACTAATTGAATCGGACTAAAAGTAAAGTATGCAGTTTACAACAAATTATCAAGAAAAAGCAATTTTATTAAATTATTCTTGATTTTGTTTTCAACAAATTAAAAAAAGAGGAATCTTACAAAACAAAGCAGTAACAAATTCAATTTTAACCACATGCACTACCCATATCGTTAAAGAGCACTACAATAACTGTTGAAAATGGCCAGATAAATTTACCCTCTGCCGAAAATTAAAGTCTAATCTGTACAATAACTGTGGATCATTTTTTATGTTGCATTTATACGATTCCATAAATCTATTTCAGATACAAACGGTGTAAAGTAAATAAATTCTTTTAAAACCCCCCAGAGACAGAAATCACATTTATTCAGATCTGGTGACCTTGTTGGCCAATTTTGTGGACAATTATGGTTTACTCGTCCTATCCGTCTATTCGGGAACTGCTGGTTCAAGAAGTCTCGTACATTAGCATTAAAATGTGGTGAAGCACCATTGTGCATGAATCACATTCGACGTCTTAACTGCACAGGAAATCCTCGAGTAGCGCAGAGAGTATTTTGTAAAAAACATAAATAATTTTCGCCATTCAGGCGGTTTGGTAGAATAACTGGCCCAACCAAATAACGTACCAGCCCATTTATTTTAAATTCATTTTGAAAATGGGGAAGAATTATTGTATGTGGATTTTCAACTCTTGGAGTGAAACAGGCCTCATCGGTAAAACGAATCTTCTCATGAAACCAAATACACAGACGCAAAATGAAATTACAAAAAGTTAGTCTTTGGCCTAAATCTTGGGGTAACAATAATTGTTGAATATTTTGGGTAAGGATGAACCAGGAAATTAAAATTTTCCAGGCATTTTCCAAGATGATGGAATAGTACGTGGTAATGTGCAGTCTTTGTAAACGTCAAAAATAACACATGAAATCATAGCCTACTACTCGTAAAACTGCATAATTTACTTTTTGTCCGATTCAATTAGTAATGACAAAATCCCGATTTTCTCAAAAACTATTTTTTCAAAAAAATTTGGAAATTAAATTTCCTGTAATAGTGGTAAAACTATTTAATAATTGGCGTACTGAAAAAAAAAATTGATATTTTAAGGGCACCCTACCCCTAGTCCGGCCCTTATAGGGCTTCCAACAAATTCACATTTTTGCCAATTAAAGATAAATGCAAATCATGTATAGTCCTTCCAAAGTCAGTTGAATATGCAAAAAAAACGTCTGGTAATAAAATTTAATGAGTTTCATAGGCGACCCTTAAAAAATTTTCTGCTAAAGGTAAAAAATTATAATTTGTATATGTGTAGAAAATTTCTATTATATGTTCATTTGGCCAACAACATATTTTAATTATTTATGTCCCCAAACAATTTTATATATATATTGATGGTAAATTTAGTTTTGTTCCGTTTCAAAAGGTCTCCAAAATGCCATAATAATATAAATAATATTAGTAAACCAAATATCCCTCTTATTTCTCCCTTTCGCAATTATTGTAATATGAATGACTGATAGGTGCCTATAATAAATTAAAATTACCTGAATCACACCAAATTCCGCATTGCCGCACTGCACTGCCAGGCGACTTGTCGACAACTGAATTTTATGATGCAATGGACCAGAGCAACAGTGCGTATTGCTCTTTGCCCACACGCTCATTCTTCAGAGGTCAATATCTCTTCAACGGTACATCCCAGGAAAAATGTTGCATAACAAATTGGCATATTTTAAGATTCTCTACACGTGCTTGCTCTGCGTCGGTAGAGTTATGAAACACCCTGTATTTGAATGCTTTGTAGTGATCCCCGTCCGTCAACAACGATCCACAACAATAATTCATCTGTTAAATATTTTTTTAAAAGCGTAATATTTAAATAAATTATTTCTGAAGTATTTCCCAACGTATATATTGCAGGTTTAACAAAATTACAGATCATTTATAACTACAATTAAAACTAATCTATTCAGGTTCTGAAGATCTATCTACTAAAGCCATAGGTACTTCCTCTGCTTCAGTGGCGGTCTCCGGGGGTTGAGTAACGGGATCTATAGCGGACACCCCGTTAAATTCCCTACTTTTCCTATTCGACTTCGGTGAAGTCATGGAACTTTGACCCCCGACGTCTTCGCAAGACGGACACTCGAAATGAACGCAGTGAAATACCTGCAAATGTAAACTAAACACTCAACGCTTCCAACGTTGAAAAGAAAAGTCTAATCCGTAACGGTGTACTTGGCATTTTTTTCCGCTCGTTTTACAACTTTACACTTACCTCGTTTGCCGTATTGTGTGTGCCAACGATTCGGATAAAAACGACGGGTCTTGGCGGAAATTTGATGACCTGCCAAGACTTACAGTTTTCCCTCGTGTTATCGACGACCATTTCCCATTCCCAAACGTTAGTCGACGATTCTATGTAATAACTGTAACTTCTATCGTCACAGTCCCAAAGTAGTAGTCTTAAACTGGAGATTATGTAGGGTTGTCCTGAAATATAGGAGGCGTTGCATTATTCCATCGACAAAATTTACGGATGACAAAACAGAGAAATTAGTTCAAGTGAATGTAGATCCGCAATCGCTTTGTTTTTCGAATAAAAGATGTGGAGTTTTATTATGTACTTGGTTATTCTCGTTCATTTTACACGTTTTATAAATAAAAATACTTATTCAACTGATTTATTCTCTACAGGCTGTTACAAATTCACTTCTTACAACATTTTTTTCAGCCTTGTTCGAGGCGATATTGAAAAAAGAACAACTTTTTCTCAAGGCCACTTTTTGCGCTCTATCGAATGGCATAATCAATTTTTATATGCAACGTTTTGTCTCTTCAGGACCATCATCAACTACAGTACTGTACTGCCTCAGCCCGATCCAGATTCAGACGTTTTGTCTCAAAAAATTCATCTTCAGTGTATTCGTTCCGAATTTATTTAATTTTTTATTTAGATTTCCTTGTTTATTGAATTATCGTACATTGTAAGTGTCGTTAGACCTTGTGAAATCCATTTAGTTATTTAAATTATTACCACTATGCGTTACAATAAAACATTTATTATTATGAACTATTACGATCAGTTGGTCATACATAACCCAATAAGTTGTTGCGTCAAAATTAAAACATTGTTACAATTTTAATTTTATTATGACCAATTAAAACTTAAAAATGCATATGAATAACCAAAACGCCAACTGAATATTACCCTTTAAAAAATTTCAGTAAATGTTCAAAAACATTTTCGTTTTGGCAAAGGTTGAAAATGAAGATCAGCGTAATATTATCGGAATTTATTATATCTGTAACCGCAAGTGTGAAAGAGTATGTCAGATGTATTTGTATGAATATCCTGAAAATAATAGATCGGAATTTGTTTGAATTTTGAGCACTCGAGAAGCCTAGAAATAACTATAGACACGAGAAGAAAACTCTAATAATTTTTTATTTTAATGCGTGGTGGAAATAGTTTAAATAACTAGACGGATTTCACACTTATAGTGTACGATAATTCAATAAAAAAGAAATGTAAATAAAAAATTTAGATAAATTTGAAACGAATACACTGAAGATGAATTTTTCGAGACAAAACGCCTGAATCTGGTTTGGGCTGAGGCAGTACAGTATAGGGGGGTCATGAAGACTTGCAAAAAAATATAATAAAACTTCCAGTCGTATTTAAAAAAATGAAATTGATGATGGTCCTGGAGAGACGAAACGTTACATATAAAAAATGACTATGCCATTCGATAGAGGGCAAAAAGTGGCCATGAGAAAGTGTTGTTCTTTTTTTAATATCACCTCAAACAAGAAAGAAATGAAACAAAAACGGATTTACAAAATTTCCGTTTTTCCCAAATATTTCGAAAACTAATCATGTTAGCCTTGATTTTTAGAGGCATAATGTTGGTCCCCTGATTACGCAACTATGCCCCCATTTAATTAAAATTAAGAGCTCATATTTAGAAAGAATTTTCTAGAGGTGTCTAGCAACCTATTTTTCAGAGTATATAGTAAAAAAAAATAGTCGACTTTTTTTGACCCACCCTACTGTATATTTGTTATCATTTCAAGTTTTTGATAAAAAGTATAAATTAATTTTTTAAAGCACTGTGTTTAGTTTGTGAATCTCGATATTAAATGACATTGATCTAGTTCATAATAATAACAATCCACCTTTTGTGCTAACCGGGTAAAAAACAAATGGCCAATATTAATTCGGCAAAACGAGAATGGTCATTTTATTACATTCATATTAGTTTTTAGTTTATCGGTTTATGAAGAGGTGTATTGCATGACTTTTTGTGTGAAGTATTAGTTTTACTGTGAAAAAGTCTCGTTACTCATCCCACTTTTTTCATAAAACAAAAAATTCTTACCTAATTGAATTAATATAGCTCCGGATCCTAACTGATGGCAGGTATACCCTGAATCCCAATCGTAATGTTTTGTATCTCCGTTCAATAAGGCGTTACGTGCTCGGCTAAAAAAAAGGGACAATAAGTGTAACAAGTAACTTTTATGGTATCAAAAATGAACATCTTCGATTTACCTGACACCTTCAATGACCACGGCGCTCTTGTCCACAGTGGCAACGTTGTAATTCGGGCAGATAATATCATTCAACATTTTTGGAATCTTCACTTTACACATCGCCTCGAACGACACCAAGTGAAACACCTCAAAAAGACGCGCAATTATTAATCGTGAACAGCAAAAATTAATCAAGATTACCTTGTTTACGGTATTATGGGTCCCTACTATCCTGACGTACTGTACCACTCTGTTCTCGAAATACAAATACTGCCAAGACCTACAACTATACTGGCTATAATCGACCACGCGTACCCAATCCTTCTGCTCCATGGACACCTCGATATAGTACGAGTAAGATCTAGAAATCATTCGATATAACCTAAGAAATTGCTAAGGGATAAAACTAACCTAATATCCCTGTCCCACAGTAACATTCGGATGTAATTAATGATAGAGGGAGCGCCTAGTTTTACGATAATACCGTGATCACCGGGACCGTTAATGGCATGCCTTGTGTAACCCTTTTCCATGTCGTACGAGTAGTAATCTCCATCTAACAAGTATTCCATCAATTCTCCGGATACGACCTTAGAACCTAATCTCGGCGACGCTACGTTCTCGTCAAGTACTGAAAATAAATTTTATGTTTGTCATTAGGCCCACATACGGTACATGTTTTTTAGTAACACTCGATAACTTGCTATTCCAATCCAAATTTGGTTTTTCCAAGTTCAAGTATAACTGACAAATTGCTTTTTTCGAAATTTGAAACCCCACTTTCAAGGCCTATAACTTCTCAAGTTGCGTTAAGTCGTCATATTTTGGGTACCCCTACATCCTGTATTTTGCTACAAATCAATTATTACCTACATTTTTTTAAAATTTAGATGCTATTTATATCAGAAGATTATTCAGAATGTAACCTCTTGTACTATTTCATATTTAGTCCAGTTACTCAGGGTTTTTACCTCCGAATTCTTTATAACTGAACCGATTGACGTGAAATTTTGACTGAATGTGGGGAATGCCTCATGGAACAAAACTTATATAGTGCCGAACTGTGCTTTTGCCCTGGGGGTGGAAATTTTTACGCCCAAAATAACCACAGGAATCGATAGAGGAGTCAATTTTAAGTAACAAATATTATATAAAGTTTTGTGGATAATCCAATACTTTCCGAGTAATTCGTCATTGAAAATGTTGATTTTTTACTGAAAAAGTGCTTGTTTTCGGACAGTTTTTTGCAAATAACTCTGAAACCATTGGATTTAACAAAAAAGTTGTAATGAACAAAATAAAAGGTAATAAAAAAACAAATCTAATGGTATTATTTTGTTTTTCTCTAATTGTAATATAAACCGAATTATGGATTTTTAAACATTATTATATGTTAGCTAAAAACTAAATTGGAACCAGTTAACATAAATAATGCCAAAACCATAAATATTAGGAAAAAACTATTTGAACCTTTTTTAAAGAACTTTGAAAAACCTTTAAGATGAGCTGTTTTAAAAGTCTTTAGAATCAAAATTAACGGAAATTTGATTGAAAAAACATGATAGTCTCATTTTTTTTAAGAAAAAAATAAACAAATCAGTGCCTTTGGCGACAGAATTAAAATTAAATGCAATCCATTTACAGATTTCTTCATTTATGTTCTAAGAATATGTTCTGGGTCTTTAACTCACTTACAAAGCATGCTTTTGAAAAAAACTTAATTTTTGAAAATGTAAATTTTTCAAATTTTTGAAAAAAATTCGATTTTTACACTGTAACTTAAAAATTAAAGGGTGTACGAAAAAATACAAGAGTAAAAAAATTTAGCTTTACTTTTGCCGAAGATTTTGTTTTTATTTTTTATTTCTCTAAAATTAATATTAATCGAGATATCGCCATTTTAAGTTATCATATGAATGTGAGTACCACCCTTTTCAAGCCCTTTAAACCCTTCAAACTTATAAATGAAGGGCTTAAAAAAGATCAACTCAACAGCTCACGTAGCCCTTACAATTCCTTGCAAAATGAGCCTTTGTGCAATTAAAAATCTAAAAAAGTAAGAAAGTTATCGTCAAAAAAATAAACACGCGTTTAGGTGATAATTTTAGGAAAATTTAGGTTAAACAAGAATTTTGAAGCATTTTGATTTTTTTTGTATATATACGTATTTTGTATGTGTACATTAACATATTAATATAACGGACTAAGGATGGTTAAAAAAAGATTTAGTGGAACCAATAAAAATGCGTAGTTTGCCTGCTCCGGAAGAATAGTTGAAAATGATTTTTTGCAACTGCAAAAAAGATTGCAGAGGAAATTGTGGCTGCCGGAAGCTTGGTTCCGGCATGCTCCGGCGACAACTGTTTAAATTCGCCTCCAATCATCGAAGAGGATGAGCATGATTGTGAAGACAATAGCAGTGACGACGAATAATCATTTACATATAATTATAATGTTTTTTTGTATTTATTATTATTAAAAAGGAAAATAAAAATTTATAAAATAATCTTAATTTTGTGTGTGTGGGCTGAAATGTTGCAATCGATGAAAAAGATCTTTTAATCAAGAAAGCAATTTTAATTTGATAAAAGAGCACGATTAAAACATTTCAAGTTGAAAAATTTTTTTTTATATTATTTTCATCCAAAGGAGTGGTTTTTAAAGGTTTTTCCGAGTTGAAAATATGGGATACATTAAGTGTCATGTTAGATAGCACATGAAATTACTTATACTGCATAAATAAAAAATATTTGATTACATAAAATACTTAAATTTCTATTTTTTCTTTTTTTTTCCAATAAGGGGTGGTCTTCACCCCCTTAAGAACAAAAAGCACACCTAGCGCATATATAAGTTTTGAAGTGGGGGGTAAGATGAGCCTAATTCTAAATTTTGAGAAAAATCTATGCAGTTATAAAAAATTTTGAAGTATTACGATGTTTTCAGCTACAGGAAGTGGGCTAATTAAAATTTTGGATTATTAGAAATTACAAGCAAAACTAATACATAATTTTCATGCGACTTACTCAATTGTCCCCGATGCGGTAAGTTGCTCAAACGAACGTTAGTTCTTTCAGCTATCGCGTCCAATAATGCATCGGGTTTTACGAGCCCCGCCGGTCGCACCACCGAAAGAAGATCCGCGACACTCATCAGCGGCAACCTGACGCACTTCATCACTAAATCATCCTTATCTTCGTTGCCTTTGCACCAGTTACAGACGCCTCGAAATATCTCCACCTCTGGCGCGAAGAAGGAATCCCTCTGCAGGAGCTCAACGAGAGATTCCTGAAACGATGACAACGAAAGTGTTTGCGTGCCGTCGTATACAATTTCTTTTAAAGAAAACCTACCTGAGAGAGTTGCAAAAACGTTTCGTGAGTTAATATCTTAGAGGCATGCCTGTCTAAGAACCCGTGGCAAAATTTAACGAGCTTTTCCAATCCGTACAAATGGGCAGTGTCGAGGATCGCGCAAACATTTCTCAAGGCTAACAATTGTTTCAATATGTCCGATATAGCCGTTTCTAAGTCTTGGAAACCGTACTGATGAGCCAGGCCAAGCGTATCCAGGATTACATCTTCCTTTAAGGTCGACAAAAACATGTGTCCTTAAATATTTCAGTTTTATTAAAAGTAACACTCTTTAACAAAAAGCTAAAAGTAGTATATTGATCAAAAACTAAGCAATATATACAATTCTCACCTGTATAGATATATCGTAGTAAAACCTTGAAAGCTTTGAGTGGAGCATCTGGTAGAACAATTTCTGCCTAAAACAAATATTTGTCTTTTAGTTTTTTTCCCTTAAATTTAAAAATTCACAAACCTGAGAAGATTCCTTTAATCCTCCATAGAGGAGTGCGCGAAAATAATCGCTACGTGCAGCTAAAATTACCTAGAGTAAAAAATTAAAAGCGTAACTAACGAGTGGCATTTACAAATTTCTACAAACCTTATGCGCACTGAGTTTCTCTCCCTCCACAACAAGAACCACATCGGAATAATCTGGATTTAAGCACAATGTAGACAGATGTTCCGAGAACTGAGACAGGTGCTCTATATCGCCCAATCTTGTGGTTACTGTTTTTGGGTTTGGATTTTGTAAATACTGATGACTTCCACTACTCATCTAAATAGAAATATATTACCATTTTAATTCATGTTCTATATCTTCAATGTTCTTTTCATTCTAGTCTTATAATAGTAATTCCACTGTACTATGTGATAGTACTTTAAAAAAGATATTAGGGTCAACATGAACAAGATTACTACACACAGTAGGTATTTACAATGTGTACTAAGTAATATATGAATATGATCTATATTTTAAATACATAAGAATTAATCTAAGATTTTAGTTTATTGTTTCGCTAAGTATGAAATTACGACCTACATAGAAACAAACCTTTTTGAATTAATAAATACGATTTAACCCCGAAGGGCGAGTAGTTATGTAATAATTATTATTATATAAGTACATAAAAACGTCAATCAATTGGTTATACCACTGATAATTTGGTAAATACACAAATAAATGACAGTTATTGGATACTGATTATTTTTCATTAACAGGAACAGGTAGTCTCTATTCAATTATAACAAAATGTTGATTAGATAGATTAAGCACATATATCTCTGTGTATTTATTTAAAATTTTATTTAACTACAGAAAAGTACATGCAATTTTATACTGTGGTAACCTTACATTGTAATAATTAAATTAAATAACTTGCCTTAGAATATATCCTCAAATATTCCTTTTATCTAATATTCGACTTTTATATATTATTCAGATATGTTTTCGCTGTACTGTATAACATTTCAATATTCACAGACAGCAATGATTGATTACCGATGAAATACCATTTATCATTAATTTTTTACATATTTACCTCTGCTCTGATTCTGAATTACTGACAATTATCATATGGAAAGATTAGAAAGTCCAAAGCCAAAATTAATCTAAACTGAACTGAATCAACTCTATACTTTGAGAATTATTTGAGAATGAGGGTAAGACGGATCACTTTTGGCTTGTACGTTTTACACAATCACAGTTCGGAATTGGTTACCCGGGATCACTTATCGATTTATAAACGAACACACCCTGAACATAACCTTTTTGTTGACAGCGATTCAAAAGTAACGTGTATGAACTGTGTGGTGTGATTTATTAAAAACGATATTAATTTTAGGATGGCTGATATAAATATAGACGCAGACAATTTCGAACCAAATAAAGGTCCTAAAAGAAAACATATTAGCGAGTCTGCAATGGAAGTCGATGTGCATAACGGAATAGAAGGGAAAAGCAAAAATACTGCACCGAACTCTAAACGAATTAAAACTAAATCGTTATCAGAGAATAAAGAGGATATACGTAAAATAGCCGTTCCTGCTCATAGATATTCACCATTGAAAGAGAATTGGTTGAAAATATTTACGCCGATAGTGGAACATCTGGAACTTCAAATAAGATTTAATTTGAAGACGAGAAACGTGGAAATTAGGACTTGTGAACAAACTAAGGACATTAGCAATTTACAGAAAGCTGCAGATTTTGTAAAGGTTTGTGTTTGTCTTAGCTTTTTCAAAACGTACTTTAGACATTTTATTTATATATTATTTGTTACAGGCTTTTGTGTATGGCTTCGAGGTGGAAGACGCATTAGCCTTATTACGATTAGATGATCTGTTTGTAGAAACTTTTGAAATTAAAGATGTTAAAACCTTAAAAGGGGATCACCAGTCTAGAGCTATAGGAAGACTTGCGGGGAAAGGAGGACGAACTAAGTTCACGATTGAAAATGTTACGAAAACAAGAATTGTCTTAGCTGACAGTAAAGTACACATTTTAGGAAGCTTCCAAAATATAGCTCTAGCAAGGAAAGCAATTTGCAACTTAATTCTTGGTTCGCCACCTTCTAAAGTCTACGGCCAATTACGAAATATCGCTAGTAGAATTTCAGAAAGAACATGAATTATTTAAATAAATAAAAAGTATGTACATACATAGAATGTGTATTTATTTGTAATATAAACAAAAAAATGCATAGGCCTTTTCAGTTCAATAAGTACATTTTTTAAAGAAAGTAATTTTCAAGGTTTGTAACCTAATATTGTTTTAAATATTTACATTATATATTTATGCTCAAGTATAAAACATTAGAAAAATTTATATGCATATTTAAATACCTCTTAACAAATATCACAACTATTTCTTTATAAATTTCAAGTAAGATAATGAAAGCAGTATAATAATTTCAATTATTATGATCATAATTAATATAAATTTGTTATATACAACATTCCTTCTCATTTTATTTAAGATTGATTTGGTATTAAGTAGTTGTTCATTGGCATTTTCTAGTCGATCTCGAGTGCGAAGAAGTGCTTCTCTTTGTTCTCCTAACTCATTTATAACTTCATTGCCGATATTTTCAGTTTCAATTGCAATTTGATTTGATCGAGCTATGCTGTCACCTGTTCTCTCCAAAACTGCAGTCCCTTCTAATATTACTTGCCTATTGTGTGCCTCCCAATCGAAATCTGGTCCACCAGACATTTTTGCAATAATTCACTCTAATATCCAACTAACTGACTAATTGCCAATATCTTTTACTATTTTCACATTTGTAAATGTTTTTATATCTGTTGGGTAATAGTCAACTTAATAAACTGTATCATGTATTATTTTCCTACGAATTTTATTATTTACATATCAAGTCTATGGTGTTTTTTAGTTTTCCACAAAATATAAAAAAGAATACAATTATTTATTATTTCTCTACTGACAGACAGTTCATCAACATGTGGCGCCATCTATATGAGTTGACAGTTGACAGACCAATGAGCTACATAATAGCTGCTTTCCAATTGCCAAGGAAGTGCTCTTCTACTGTCCTACTCTAAATACTCCAAACTTAAACAATTGGAACACCTTCAAAAGAAACACGTAAATATTAAAGGTTCTCTGTTTATATGTAGTTGTTCTTTGTTCTCCAAATACTAATCAACTAATCTTGTTCCTTAATTCTTAAAATCCAGCCAATGACGTCACAAAGATATGTAAATCTCAATTTGTGGTAACAACTAACACCGACGAACAGACCTATTATTATCAACTTTGTTTTGTTCTTGTCAAAAAATCCAGCTCTATTTTTTTTAGGTTAATTCATTTTAAATTTTAGGCTTTAAATTTTCATGTTTAGATCTGATAATTCTCTAGTTTAAAAAAATTTCTGACTTGGTAATGGACATCAAATGTCTATGAAATATTTTTTACAAAAATATACTTGATATTGTTCAATGTGGCAACTCTGCTGATGTATTTTGTTTATCCATATTTATCTCTTGATTGGACTGGACTTTAAACTATACTTGATATTATTGGAAATAAAATAATATATTTAAGTCAAGTAAATTTATAGAAGAAATGAGTTCTATAAATCGTTTATGTGGAAAAATTGCTATAGTAACTGCTTCTACAGATGGAATAGGATTTGCAATAGCACAGAGATTAGCTCGTGAAGGGGCAAAAGTTATCGTTAGCAGTCGAAAAGAAAAAAATGTAAACGAAGCCATAAGTAAACTGAGTAACGAGGGACTCGATGTTAAAGGTTTGGTATGTCACGTATCAAAGGCCGACGATAGAAAAAAATTGTTCGACCAAGCTAATAAATTCGGTGGCCTCGACATTCTAGTATCAAATGCAGCTGTTAATCCAGAGGTTGGGGATGTACTTGATTGTTCTGAAAGTTCATGGGACAAAATATTCGACGTTAACGTTAAGTCAGCCTTCTTATTAGCCAAAGAGGCAGTCCCGTTGTTAAAACAAAGTAAAGAAGGCAGGATAATCTTCATTTCATCAATTGCCGGCTTCCAGCCACTTGGCTTACTAGGAGCTTATTCGGTAAGCAAAACAGCTTTACTAGGACTGACAAAAGCAGCTGCACTTCAACTTGGCCCCGAAGGAATTACCGTGAACTGCGTGGCACCGGGGATTATAAAAACAAAATTTTCTTCCGCTCTAACTTCCAATGAGGGCGCAGAAAGCGAAATTTTGTCACAAATTCCCTTAAAAAGGTATATAAGAGGGTACCGATTGAAAATTCTTTTTAAAACTGATATTTTTCAGGTTGGGAGATCCTCACGATATTAGTGGTGTTGTCGCATTTCTAGCTTCAAAGGATGGTGCATACCTGACGGGTGAAAATATTGTGGTTTCTGGTGGAATGCCTTCAAGATTGTAAAGAATATACACGACTTTTATTTAAAGTATGCTAAAGTTAAATATTCCTGTAGTCACTAACCGAGTTATAATTTTTGTGAATGGGAGGAATGATTCGTTATTTCGTGACATATTTTTGGTTTTCCCTGGTCATTTAATGATGAAATCGGCATATCTTTTGGTAGCTTTGAATATAATCCATTTGTTGTAAGGATAGTGGTATGGTGTAAGTTTTAAAAAAAAGACATCAATTATTATATATTTTTTTCAATTTCAAAGAAAACTTTATTTCCTTTTACCATAAAACAATAACATTCATAAGAATAGCTGGTATTCTTCTGGAAAAGTACTATATGAAACGTAAATAAATTAACGTCTATCAGTTTTACCGACTCCTCGTTTTCCTGCAAACAAATGTTTCGGCATTTTAGTACCTATAAATCTATCGGCTTCTCCTTTGAGTCCCATCTTTTTAACCTTCTTACTAATGGCTCTATGTGCGATTTTGGCTAATTTTTTCTTCATCTACAATAAAAAAGAGAAATCGGTCTTCTATATTTGCGAGAATAACGGTGGTGGTGACATCTATTACATTAATTTAAAATCACTATCATCTTCAATATAAATATTTAACAAAATATCAATATTAAAAAATTTATTCAGTAGCAGTGGCGGCTCGTTAGAGGAGGCGGGGGGGCTAAGCCTCCTCTGCAGTTTTTGATAGTATTGCAAAAGTTTTCTTTTAGTTTTTTATTTTACATCATATAATTAATGTTATTTAAGAAATTTCGTTACAAATCTATTTGCAAATGCAACTAATTAGGTAGGTATCTACTAAGGGAGATCTCGAGTACGTAAATATACGATTTTTAAATGTCCACTATTTTTCGCGCCCTCCGAATTCTAATTATAGTCGCTGGCAGCTAACTTTCGCAAGCCTCCAGCCTTTGCCAGTGTTCTATATCCTATGTAGCCTTGAAATGATGCCACGATTATCTACATTCGAGCTTCAAAAGTCGACACGTAGGCTTGTTGCCACCTTTCATCTCTTTTTGACAAGCAAATCTTTCAATCTACCACCTCGGTGATCGGAGTTGTATGTTACAACGTTGCATTTCATAATAAATTAAAAACATTGGTCATCTGTGAGTGCACGAGTTTTTGTTTTTAACTGGTGTTTAAGTGAAGTTTTTCTTAAGAATTTTTTTGAGACGATCATAATTAATTAGTAAAACAATCATTTACATTTTACCAAATGTACTACCGGAGATAAGTGATAACATTAAGGGAAAAAGACCATGTCAGATATCTTTTGAAAAAAGTAATACTAAATGTCCATTATATAAATCGATAAAATGGATGTAATAGGAGTAGTAACAGTACTTACAGCAACGTCCTTAATTCCTTGTTCGTTTCTGGGTGGCTTAGAAAGCGATCTTGACCTATTAAGAGAGGTACTGTCTGCCTCATTTGTGTCCATTCTCATTCGTTTGGTAGGCGGCCCCGTAGATCTGCTCCTAGCCTTCGTTTTGGTAAAGTGGGCGTCTTCGGTTCCCGACATATCTACCCCCAATTTAGACATATCTTCCCTTAATTTGGAGACAGATCGGCCTCTAACCTAAAATAACAGTGTAGACAAAAACCTGTTTTACAGTTACCAATTTTTCGTCAAATAAATCGTTAAAAGAAATTAGCCAAGTTATATCGCTACGTGCAACAGAGATTTTAAATAACAAAATTTTAATAATAAAAATTATTACCACAGCTGTTTTTATCAGCGTCCATGCATAATTATATCTAATTCGAAAGTTATGGTCTGATCGGTTTGATATTTTCCTTTGAAATTTATGCTATTTTTAATTTTGTATGTATTTGAAATCTAAAATCAATTTCTGTTGATTATTCAAATGTTAAATAGAGAACTGAAATGAAATTTAAATGTTAAGAAATAATTATAACCCGAAATTTTAGGGATTCTTCAACATTTACGTCTGGTGGGTTAAATTGACGAACGATCCTAGTTGTTGCACAAGTGTTGCGGGTATAATTCAATGCCGGTAGGGGCATATAGCCCTCGGAGTAGTTGTTTCTCGCAACACTGGCAAATTAAAACGTTGTCTTTGCCCTTTGTGGGCGGCAGTCGTGCAACAAGTACCTGCAATATAGCAGGTCACTTCCTACTGTAGCCATTTGAATGGCACAGTTGGGAATCAGCACGACAGATGGAGCCATTTGCGCTCCCACGTACATTAAATGTTGAATAGAAAAGTGCAGTTCGGCATAATATATTATTTGTGTGTTGCATTTTGCTTTTTTTCTAAAGTTTAGTAGTCTTCAATTTGACTAAGATGATTTGTACCATAAATATAGCAAATTTGATGATTTCCGATTTAAAACACGATAAATAGAAATAATTGTCTCATACAATTAAGTAAAGTCAAGACTTACCTTCGCTCCTGAAGTTCGCGGTAAAACAGGCTTCCTACTTTGTTTATTAATCCTTGCTTCATCTTTAATAATAGCCTTTTTGTGTCTAATTTGTAAAGCGAGTTTTTTAATTTCTTGCATGGTCTCGTCAAGCTCGATTTTAGGTACGGCATACATCCCCGTCTCCTCCCTTATCTCCTCCTCCTTCTCTAATTCCTCGAGTTTACTGAAAATCTCGGGATCGATATAATCTGCGATATTGTGTCCTTCCCAAATTTCTGGTATAATGTCGTAGCGTTCTTCTTCGGGGATGTCCGTATAGTGCTTGTTAAGATCGAGCACGTAATCGTCGCCTTGTTCCAGTTCTATGTCACGTTCGAGCTTGCGTTTACGTTTTTCCATGGAAGCTTGTTTCTTTGCCAGAACACTTTCGGGTATACACGGGGGACGAGGTTTCTCGTCTCTCGGTTTAGGTATGGCAACGTGTAGTCGGTTGAGGACCCCATCGACCTTAAAAACAATAGAAAATGCAGAATTTCAATTTTTTAGACCAATATAACTGTTCTTACCTTTTTAGTTCTCATCTTTTGATCGACGCGATAACTGAGTAACTTTTCGCAAGCTTCCGTTTTAACCTCCATCACACCGAAGTCACTCATTGTGGACATTTCTAACAATGACAAACCTTTGTCACCCTCGATTTCTTCCAATGCCGATCTCCGATCTGCAGATAATTCATCCAATTTTATGATGTCAGTTTTGTTGATGACAACTATAAGCGGTTTATTTGCGAATAAGGGCTTGATAGACTCAAATAATTTTACTTGCTCTTCGATCGTATGTCCACATTGTTCCGACAGATCCATAAAATATAAAATGCAGGCTCTTAAGTGGGCCAAGGCGGTAACCGCTTGCATTTCAATAACGTTACGTTCCTCCAAGGAGTGATCTAATATTCCGGGAGTATCGATAACTTGCCAACGAAGGTATTTGTAGTCCGTGTGACCGACGTACAGTGATTTAGTTGTGAAGGCGTATGGTTGAACCTCTACATCTGCTCTTGTGATTTTGTTCATAAATGATGACTTGCCAACATTTGGAAATCCTAAAGCATGAAAATACAGAAGTGTTTAGTGAACTTTTAATAAATTAGAAATTATTTGGGTCATAATCTAATCTCAGATAATACAATGAATGTTTTCAAATCCAAAAACTTACCACAAATAATGATTGTTCTTGTATAAGGATCCACTGATGGCAAACGTGCCAAATGCTGTCTAACTTGTTCTAAATATACTAAATTAGAGGCTTGTCTTTTCATAATAGTTGCCATACGACCTAGCGCAGCCCTTTTAAGCTGTTTGCAACGATACAATGAATCGCCATATTTTAATAATCTCACATAGTCCTTCGCTACAGTATCGATTAAGTGTCTTGCAGTATTTATTTGTCCTAAAGCCAGTTTATAATGATCTTTGTCATAAAGCACGTTCATCAAATCAGCATAAAAGGGATGAACGTCATCTAATTTGGGAAACTCCGTTAAAATTTGAGTTAATCTGTCGTGAAAACTTTGCTGAGAAAATTTTACTTTTCTCATATAAAAGGCCCTTATTCTTGTGATTTTATACTGTTTATGTATAACAGTAGGAGTCTTGCGTTGAGTTTTAGAAAATATAATATCTATGAAATCCTAAAAAATATTTAGGTTATGTTGTATTAATAAAATATAAAATTAAGGTTATACTTACTTTTGCTGTGGGAACTACAGCTATTTTCTTGAAATTATAGGTTGCCATTTTTTAAATTTTTCTTAACTTTCTTACAAATTCAAATAAAACTCTTGTATTTGTTGATAAGAAAAACGTGGTTATTTACGCTAAACAAGAAGGATCAAAAAGAACATGACATGCGTGACAACTGACAGTAATGAACAGACATAACCTTAATTTAATCCTTCTTTTTCTTCTTCTTGACATTAACGATACCTTAGACGATAATTATTCGGAGTGATACTTTTCTACATAAAAATGTAATTTCGGATCAGCACAGATGTGCCCACATTGGAGCATAAGTATTCTCAAACCAAAAATGGAGTTTAGTGCTCTGTATTTTAAGCAGTCCAACACAATATCGATGGAACAAAAAATATATATATACTCGCCGAAACAAAAACCTAGTAACTACAAACATTTCAAAACGAAAGCAATAATAATTATTGTTTGTTTAGATCCTTTCCCTTCATGCCGTATTTACAGGTTGTATAAGATTTATATCGAATGAAACGGATTGGTGTAGAAAGTGTAAACGGTGGAATTGAAAGAACAACGTTCTTTTACCAAAGATCCCTTTTACTTGTTGATGTTATGACGACAAACGTCAAAACATCAAAAACAAATAAGTTGACACTAACCTAATTGTTTTAATCGCATTGTATTTCGATTTAAACATAAATATTAGATATTTTAGAAACATATTTATATATGTCATTTTACTCTTCTGAAACTTAAGGTTGTTACTCGTGTAATAAGTATTTTCTAATATGGATGTGGAATTACTGAGGCCAGGCACTGTTCCCATATCTCCCGATACAGTATTATGGTTTGAATTTTTATTAGATCCCGACTTACTGTTGAAACATTTGCAGAAATCATGTCCAGGTAATAAAAAATATTATTTCTACTTACATATTTTTTAAAACATTTTTTTTTATTATAGATCCATCTCCAACAGAACTAATAACAAAATTTTACGATGTTATATCTGAGGCACTGAAAACAAGGCCGGAAGTTGAAACCGGAGAGATTATTAATGTTGAATCAAGTTCTGAAAAACCTAAGCATCCCGCTAAAAATGTTGCATTGAAAATCCTTTCCTTGAAAATAGCAGCATTTCTGAAATGGAGTTTAGGTAGGTAGAAAGAATTTTTTTGTTGCACATAATAGCTTGTCATATTTTATTTTAGATCAATTACGAAGCTTGCCGTTTAAGACTCAAATAAATCTACTGCAGGATTTAATGTTTTTTACGAATAATGAAAACGCCGCAGAAATACCTAATATAGAAGACCCAGATGTTAAGTATGCGGCACCGCAGTATCTTTTTGCTCTTTTATTATTTCATCGATGGCTTTTAAAAACATCAATGCATAGAGTTACCTCCAACTGGCAACTAAGGTTTAGGTAAGCAGCTTTATTATTTATATGCTAGAATTCCTATTGTACTGGCAGTTCCAATTAAACATTGAGTTACTCATTGGCTTTTAGTATAAACGATATGTCCCTAGTTGATGTGAACATCATTTGTTCTCCTGAAAATATTACAAAATCTGTCGCTTTTCTTACGAGTTCGTTGGAATGGGAAGCCGTACCGCAGATGCTGACATTCGAGTGTTTTAATTTGCTTACGGAAGCAAATGACTCCATCGAATTCGAGTGGGAGAAAAGCCAGCCGATTTCCAGGAACGAGTTTTGTGCCCAAATAAATTACGATCTTGGCGCGTTTTTCTTTTACCAAGAAGAGTATGATTTGGCAAAAAAACATTTCTCTAATTGTCTGCAGTGTTTCATGGATATGCCGAAAATTAACGAATTTTACGATGTGGATAGGCACATGTTGGAAATTTATATTAACGCTTGCCACGGTTCTCAGGAAATACATAAGGGGAACTTACTGGAGCAATTAAATTTGTCGATTGTAAACCAGTATATGGTAAGTGAGGGAGAAATATAATTATTAATGTCTGTTACCATCTACGGGCTGTCGTTTTAGGGTATTACTACGATTTTGCAGCAAGACAATATTTACAGGGAAATTCCATTAGTGCATAGACTAAATTTAGAGTTGGATATTCAAGGAGCATTATCGAGTGGGGCATTTACCGTTGCTAGAGATTTACTTTTTAAAATTAAAGCGCTGAATATTGTAAGAAGCATTTTAGACAAAAAACCTCTATACCAATATTCGTTTTCTTCGGTGAAAAATGTGGAGATATTTGTTTGGGTATGCATCGTATAAAATTTATAACATAATAGAAATGCAAGGAGTTTATTTTCAGGCGTTTCAAGTTACTTGGAAATCATTTTCAGAGAAAGACAGACTGTTATTAAAATCGTATCTCCTGGAAATTACATTAAAAGGAGACTTCCCCGACCTACTGCTAAAGATCGAATCAATTGAAGAATTTGACGTTTTCAATAAACTGGATCTGCAGTATATTAAAGGTTCCGAGCCTAAATTCGACATTCCCGAGAGTCTAACGAAAACTGATATGAATATGCTCGAATTCAGCAGAAAAAGTAAGTGTATATAAATTGTACTCTTTTAATAATGTTAAATTGTCTTAATATTTTATCAAAAGTACCTTTAATTTTTTAAGAATTTTTTTATAACAGATATTGTGGGAAACAATTATAGTCCAGATGGTATCTGTTTCAAAGGGTCCATATTTAGGTGAATCGTATATCCACAGAGATTTTTGGCTTTTTGGCTTTAAAATATCACTAGAAATGAAAATTTTTGTATGCGCATAAAAAAAAACGTGGGCTTAACTTTTGGCGGCACAATATGTTAAAAAAATTCGGAAAATGTCATATTTTTTTTCCTATTTAATTATGTATCTTTTCAAGAGTTGATTTTAGGTGAAAATGGAAGAGGAAAAAAATGTTTGTAATTTAATTTTACAAAATATGACTAGTTACAAATTGAATAAATCATGATTATTATTGTAAAAATCGATAAAATCGTAAAAAATGGGTTTAAAAACATTACTTTTTAGGGAATTTTTTTGGGGTCTTTAAGTTAGGCATAGGACCTTCATACTTGGCTCAAGAAAAGTTCATGTTACCTATGTAGAATCATCACACCAAATTTCATCAAAATCGGTTCGATAGATTTTGCATAATAATAATTTTGCAATCCAGATTTTGAAAAAAAATTTGCAAATTTTCAAAATCTTGCACAGCAAAAACCAAGACTTAGATACTTGAAAATTTAATCACATATAGAAGGGCTCTCAAGCTTTCAAATGCTTTTTGAAAAATTCGAATCCGTCAATTAGGAGAGCTCTAGCGCTTGTTTAAACATTGGTTGAATTTTTGTACTATAATTTGGTATTTTTGTAATATAATGAGTTAATTTCTCATTTGCTTATATTTTAAGAAGTAAATAATATTTGAATTATACTTTAATCACAAAAGAAATGATGATTAAATTAATAATTAATTAATTAATTACTAATTTTCGACATATTTTGAAAATAATTGTTGTTTAAACAATTTTAGAATATTTAAATAATTTTTTTTTTGATCTTTGACAAACAGTATATAAGTTTATACACTTACCTTTGATACGATAAAAAATAAAGTTGATAATTAAAGGAAGTTTAAAGATAAATAATTATCGGACTGTTGAAAGACCAATAATTATTAACGATAGGCATTTGAAAATACGCTAATTGTTTTTTTTTTAAATCGCGAGATATCAATCTAAAAAAATCAAAATCAGACCTCTAGAAGCTGAGATATTAAAAATTTTCAAGCGCGTCGCGATTTTGAACTCGCCGATTCAATTTTGAGCAGGCCGAAGCGGTCGCGCTCTCTGCTTCCCCCACCACCATACCCGTACGATTTTCATGAATTTCTCGCTTTCATAAATAACTTTAAACACGTTTTAAAGTAGGTTGTCAATGAAGAAAAGTATTGCAAACTTAGACCTGATAAGTACTCGGAATACCAAAGGTATTTTTTGAAAAATTAGCCCGGATGTCCCAGTACAATAAATGACTTTGATCGTCTATAACTACGTAATTAATTGATCAATCGATCTGTTTTTTTTTTTTAAATGCGTCTTTCCAAGAACTTTTAAAACTTATTTTAAAAAATTTAATTTGATTGAATATTCACAAAATTATTCTAATTGTTTATAAGTACAAAAATTTGACCAATGTTTAAACAAGCCCCAGAACTCTCCTAATTGACGGATTTGAATTTTTCAAACAGCGTTTGAAAGCTTGAGGGCCCTTCTATATGTGATTAAATTTTCAAGTATCTAAAGGCTTTGGTTTTTGCTGCGCAAAATTTTGAAAATTTGCAATTTTTTTTTCAAAATCTGGATTGCAAAATTATTATGCAAAATCTATCGAACCGATTTTGATGAAATTTGGTGTGATGATTCTACATAACATGAACTTTTCTTGAGCCAAGTATGAAGGTCCTATATCCAACTTAAAGACCCCAAAAAAATTCCCCAAAAAGTAATGATTTTTAACTCCATTTTTTGCGATTTTTTCGATTTTTACAATAACAATCATGATTCATTCGATTTGTAACTAGTCATATTTTGTAAAATTTAATTAAAAACATATTTTTCCTTTTCCATTTTCGCCTAAAATCAACTCTTGAAAAGATACATAATTAAATAGGAAGAAAAATATGACATTTTTCGAATTTTTTTAACATATTGTGCCGCCAAAAGTTAAGCTCACGTTTTTTTTTATGCACATAGAAAAATTTTCATTTCTAATGATATTTGAAAGCCAAAAAGCTAAAAATCTCCATGGATATACGATTCACCCAAACCAAAACAGATACCGCCTAGTCTATTAGTCCGAAGGCCACATGCCTTGTTCAGCATTGAACTATACTCCTAGTATCTAGTAAAACAGCTAAAATTATTCGTCAGCAGCATCACCAGTAGGGTTACCAGTTCTATTTCATGACGGACCCGGAGACATTAAAATTTGCAACAGAAAATTGATTTTTAGGGAAACCAAAAATGGAGTTGAGGCAGTTGGAAGAGCAGCTAATAGCCACATACGATCACAAGGAAATCAAAGAAATACTTGTAAAAATTGCAGTACTCAACTTGGGTACTACCGTTTGGAGTATAAATCCTCAGTGGGAACTACCTATACCACTACAAAGTGTATTGAAGTCGCTTCCGAGAGGTAATTTTTTATAATAACATTTCAACAAAAACTAGACTTTAATTTTTTTTTTAATGTAGGAATGTAGATACATACATTTTTTCAGGTTTCCACCAAGATTATGCTTACGTAATTTTAGCAAAATCCAAGGAGCAACTTTTAAATAAAAACTGGAAACTGTCCATGGAATTACTGCTGATTTTAGACAAGGAACTGCACACTTCTAACTGTAACGTAGCGAAATTGTACAAACTTATTAGTTGGGAAATATTGTTAGTTCAAATAACGCAGCTGATCGATGAATGGCCAAAACATACAATCGGTGAGCTCCTCATTTACTTTTAAAACAAAAACTAACTTATAGTCCAACCAAATTACACTTGGAGAAAAAAAAATAACTTTTATAAGTGGAAATGGTAAAAGGGCTTATAATAAACCTAAAAAAAAATAAATGCGTGAGCAGGGGCGGCGGAGGGTTGATTTGGGGGCTTGAAAAGTTATGAAAAATTGTATCATTGGGATTTCTGGCGAAACGTCAAACAAAAAAGTTTCCAATACATAAGTTGTACCTAGATCATGCAAAAATCTACAACTTTTGTAGAAGTCACTTTTTAACATAACCTCATAATTTCCGAGAAAAATGCGAAAAACAGGTTATTTTCAGATTTTTCAGTTTTATTTCTCATTTCCGCAAAAATTATTTAATTTTGACGAAACTTGGTGAAAATGTACCTTTCTCTGCCTTAAATAACCCCAAATTTTTTTAGATAAAAAAATCAAGAAGTTTCAGAGATATTCATTTTTTTTGGCCTGAAACACTTTTTTTTCGAAAAAAAAATTCTTAAAAAAATCATCGTACAGAGTTCTGCCGGTAATCATTTTTTTTCGTTTTGACGTATACTTTTTGGTGAAATAAAAAAATT